CACACACACACACACACACACACACACACACACCAAGGCCTAAGGCGATTTCACCTATCATTGTCTCTGAAAATATAAAACATTAAGGAGAAAGCATAAATTAATTCAGAGGAATAGCATTGAATAATTTTTCATGGAAAATATAAGAATCAAAGCACATATTCAGCATTATTTAAAATTGTTCATGTGATCACCTGTGTGTAAAAGTGCTTTGAAAACTTTTATTAGGTCATTTTATATATAATTACTAATAAAGATGTATCATAATAAAGCATTCTTAGTGTATTCTCTAGATTGATAATTATGAAGTACTAATATTAACAATTTCAAAATAAATTAATAAACAAACATTAAACTTACCTTTTTGTTGGCAACAAAATGTGTTCTCAAGTTTACAAAGCAAGTCCGTATTTTCATACTTATTTTCATTGACTTTTATCCAGAAACAGTTTTCAGACATTTCATTTGGTCCAATCTGCAATCAGAGAAGAGGGACTCATAAACACCTTAGCAGTTCACCCATCCTGGCCCAATCACAGCACACGATCAGTATCCTCAAGCTCCAGCAGATGTTTGTGGAGTCAGCTCTTTGAGATCTGACCCAAAATCGGCCCAGTGACAGATATATTCTTCAGAATCCTGAGGTCTTACGAGGAGAAGAAAACAATTTCCACGATCAAATGACTGTGCACTTGCAGCTACTGGAGCTCATCTCTTCCGAGCTATGATTCTAGATTATTGTTGATATTCATTGGGTACCCGAAACAAGTTATCCCCACATAGAATCTCCCACACTAATATCAGGAACATCCTTCAGGAGGATTGAGACTGCCAGTCACCTATGTACAAGCTTTGATGTCAGGAATTACTCTCCCTAATAGCTCCACACAGAGAGAGTTAATTCCAAACACTAGCCTTTCATATTTTTGAGAAACCCTTTATAAAAGTAAATTCCATGAAATTATCAACTCTCACCAAATTTACAAAACAAAAATTACTAGACAATAGCAAAGGACTGGAATAAAAAATAAACTGCATACATAAAATATATGTGCATATACTATATATATGCAATTGATATATTGTCATCAGGAATAAAGTTCGCACGGGAAACGATGCATTAGTAAATCTAAACTGAAGAAGATATGTAGGAGAAGTATGTCCACTCCCACCAACAGGCCTTACCTTTAACCAGTTCAATCTTCTCATGCTGATTTCAGGTTTAAATTCTTTCTTTGGTTTCAACCCAAATGGCAGGTTTAATGGAGGAGAACTTCGCCCACTGAGAAATCCCAGGGGAGGTGGTGGTGGCACTGGTCCACCAAATGGCATTGCCATTCCTGGAAGTGGGGGAGGTGGGGGAGGAGGAGGGGGAGGAGGTGGGGGAGGAGCTGCTGCTCCACAGAGTGCTGGTGGGGCAGGAGGAAGGGCTGAAGGGCTAAGTTCACCTTCCACTGCAGTTTGCAAAGGAATTTTTGTGCCAGGTGGCAAGGCACCAAACTGGGAGGTGGGAGGGGATGGTGGAGGGAAGGAAGATTAAAAAAAAAAAAAAAGTAAAAATGTGTGTACAAATAGCAAAAGCAGAAGTGCATTTATTTTAAAATGCGATACCATAACAAATTAAAAAATACCAGTATTTAACAATTGCTTATGAATTTCTATAAGTGTTTCTTCCAATCTGAACATATACATATAGCTTTCATTCTCAAGAAAATGTAATTTCCCCAATTTGAAACAGTTACAATAGAAATGGTTCCACAGGCCTAGAAGATTAAATAGTCAATGGTCTCCAGGTAACACTAGATGCATTGTGAGGAACTAAGTCCAGTCAGGGTGCATAGAGAGTATACAACAGGAGGAGGGGAACATCAGTACAGAAGGTCTTATTCACGTCTTATAGATTTATATATACATATATATGTATGTATAAATGTTTCACTTATAACATGGAGGAAAAATACGCATGTCATTTCTACCTTTGTGCCTTTACTTCAGGCTTCTCAAAAGAATACACGTCAGGAGGACGGGAAGGAATATAAAATTCCTAGTAGAGCCTATAAGGCACATCACTGTTTGGTTCCTAAATATCTTCAAGTGATTTTCTTTTAATTCTATGTATGTGCCAACATCATACTAATTTCAGGGTGTAAATATAAATTGTCCCTCTTAATCTTGATCATTACCTAAGCCATCTCTACTAGCTTTTTCAATCTGAACTAACAAGTCCTTTCCTCAGGACAACTTGTCCTGCACACTCACTTATGTCCTAGTGTAACAAACTTCTCAGAAGTTCTCGGCAAATCTGGGAAGTAATTATGGAAAGGATTACAGACAATTAATCTCTTTTATAGCGTATAAGCTTTATGAGGGATGTGACTACAATCTGTTTATCAGGTACACACAGTGCCTTTAGAAAAGCAAGGGATAAAAAAAAAAAAAGGCAAGTGGGCTGGAAAGATGGCTTAGAGGTTAAGAACACTGACTGTTCTTCCAGAGGTCCTGAGTTCAATTCCCAGCAACCACATAATGGCTTATAACCATCTGTAATGAGGTCTGGTGCCCTCTTCTGGCAGCCGGGCGGTGGTGGC